ATCAGAAGCTCAGTATTGGTTGTGGCGATAAGCCTAAAAACAAAACTGAGCAAACCCACCTCTTGATGGTATGTGTTGATGTTTACATCCTTGCTCAGAGATTTACTGACTAAATTCTGACCACTAACTTGGGGATAGAAAAGTTGATTCTAAAAAATATTGCACAAAGAAAAGTGGCAGAGCTTCTCTTTTCTGCTGTGATTCTTTTCTTCCTGTCTTGAGTATGGTTTGTAAAGATATGATTTGGGAGAAACAGCTGCCATTTTGTAATTGTGTGGCAACAATTCTATTGTGAGCCCAGTAATGAGTAAAATTCAAGGATATAAAAGAAAGAGAAGTTATGGTCTCGGAGCCCAATGAGCAACCTATCATAGAAAAGTGACAAGAGATACACCTGAATTAACCTGAGAACAATTGCAAAACATCTTACAGTGGTACTCAGTGCCAAATATCAGACCCAGTGGCAGTTTTCCAGAATCTACTGTTGGTAATTCAGCCTGTCAATGACTCTTGCCAATCCAACTAAACAGAAGAAGTTTTTAGGAAACACATGACATTCAGAGAAGGTTCTAAAATTCTTGTGCATTCAAAACACATTGTTCCCTTGTTTAAATACCAGGAGCAAATTTCTCTTGGGAAAAAAATGCACAGTAGTGATGAAGTATTGTGTCGGACATTGGATTTCTTAATAAGTTTTTTATTGTGAAAATACTGTACAGAGGGTTTCAGTTACATGAGCAAGGTAATGAGTACATTTCCTATCAAGGATTATTGCCTCCTACTTTGTTTTTCCCCTACCATCCCTTCCCTCCCACCTCCACAACTAAATTCCCCTCCCCCTCCTAAATTGTAAAGTTCGTTTTTCAACATAGTGTCTTGTACATCTCATTGTTACAATGGGTCAAACTGTATTCCTATTTAAACATTTTGTTTATTCTCTTTCCCTCCCCAAATTATACCAACATCAAATGAAAACAGGGGTTATACTGTGGGGGAGAGACATACAAAGCAACAAAAAAAACCACATGGTACCTTATAAATACGTTAGAAACAATAACAAGAAAGAAAAAAACACTTGTGTCCCTATCTTGGGGTTCATTTCGCCTAACTTCATCTTATCTGGTCATCGGACATTGGATTTTAATTTTGGTAAAGCCAGCTGTGAGCTGTGTAAAAGTTCCTTCACCATTTGAGAGTTTGATTTTTTAATGTGTAAATTGAATATTGATTTAATAAGTACTTACAGGGCATATAAGAAGCTTTTGAGACAGTTTTAGATGATAGAAAATATAGCAATGAATGAAAGATACAAAATTGTTGACAAAGAAAGCAGACATACAATTTTTAAGAAGTAGATTAATGTATCAAGGAATAGTAAATTGACAGAGAAAAGTGTGAAGCAAGGAAGAAAATATGACTGTGAGAAGACATGGCTAATTTGACAAATTACTAAGATGTAAACCTAACATTATTATCCTGTTGTAGATTACTAAATCAAAACCCCTTGGTTTGACATTTACGATCCTTCCAATTTACCTTTTAATGTTATGTCTGCTCACCTGTAGAAGCCTAGCTTCCAGATAAAAGGTCACTTCAGCAAATTCACTCAGCAACTCATCATGCACTTTCCTTGGTTTTTCCTCTCTAAATCCTGTCAGAGTTTATTATTTTTAGTCAATTCTATGCCCTTGATGAAATCATAAACTTCTGTATTGCCAGCATCTTCCTAGAAAGATTTTGAGCAAAGAACAGAACTGTGTCCAATCGTGTTTATTGATGCTGTTTGATGCACGTTTGGAATGTTCATCCCTCTGAACACTACCACTGCAAAAACTGGGTGCTAGACTCAATTTTGCACAAGTTTTAATTGCTTCATCTATCACACATGGTGCATAATGGAGTCACAGGATTTCCAAAGCCTGTTGCATTGCTTAAGAAGACTTCTAGTTATACCTAGAATTTCCCTTCAAAATCAACTCCATGTAGAGCAGACAAAAAAAAAATACATAGCCCTCAAATCCTGTGTGTCCACGCAACCTTGAGAGTAGTCTTGCTAATATGCACGTGTCATTGTTGTTTCTTGAATGACTTTCAGGTGATGGCTTTAGCTGAAAGAATTTTCCAGCACTTTGAAAAAAATGAGGCAGAAGAGAAGGATGAGCAAAATGTAGCAAAAGCTATGGGATCAGCACTAAGTGTAGTTGGGATAGGCAGATTGATGGTGCTACAATGACACTGACTTCCTAATCCTTGCAATTTGGAAAATATTTTGCCTTAGATGAGAGAAAGGCTTTGCAAATATGGTTGAGCCAAGACTGTTGAGATGAGGACATTATTCTAGATTATTCCAGTGGACCTAATCACAAATGTCCTTCTAAGAGAGATGCAGGAGGATCAAAGTCAAGGAGACGAGACAATAGAAGTAGAGGTTGGAGTGATGTGGCCACAAGCCAAAGAATTCAGGCCACCTCTATGGACTAGAAGAGAGAAGGAAGGAATGGTTTTTCCTCACACAAGTCACCAGGAGTGCAAAACCCTGGGCTGGATGACACCTTGATTTTTAGCCCTACAAGATCCACTGTTAGAACTGTAAAACAACATGTATAGTGGTACATTAAATTTGTGGTAATTTGTTTCATCAACAGAAGGAAACTAATACAGTAATATAGCAAAAACAGCTATTAAGTAGAACTTGTTACAGCTTGAATAATCTCAGAAAAGTCACTATTTCCGCTTCTTGTGACATAAAGAGAAATTATATCTGCTTTACTGTCTTGATATGAGAGCAAATCAAATTCATGAGAGCACTTTGTAAAGAATTGAAGTATATAGATACAAGGTATAAAACTCTTGCTTACACTTTAAGTTTTCTTAATAAAGGCATCACCCTTAACACTCTGATACCATAACTATTACACCATAGCCACGTGAGCTTTAATAAAGCTGTTGTTTTAGAAGTGGCCTAGGCAGGGGAGATCACCCAGCACAGTCACAACCTTCTTGCATCATCTTGAACTGATTTGCAGCCATGTTCAAAGACCAAGATACAGTCTGCATAGCATCCTCTTTGTGAGTATGTGGCGGGGGTGGGGGGGGGAGGATAAGGAAGAGAAGAGGTAGTACTAGGGCTTAAATTTAGGAGCTGGGCACCTAGTCTTTTTTGCTCAAGGTTATCTCTCCACTTACAGCTGTACTTCCAATGTGTTGGTGGTTAATTGGAGATGAGACTCTCATGGACTTTCCTGCCTAGGCTGGCTTTGAACTGTTATCTTCAGATCTCAGCCTCCTGAGTAGCTAAAATGGCAGCTGGCTTGAATATCCTTCTTATGCCACCTTCAGGAAGCAGCTGTCAATCAACAGCAACCCATGCAAGAAGCTTATTTAACAACCCTGTCCTAGTGACTAAGAAAGTTTGACCCACTGGCCAAACAGTAAGCCAGTTCAAAACACAGATCTTCAGGCCACCTTCAATCAGCATTTCCACAAGAGCCCTAGGTAAGTCCTGGGTGTCCACTGGTATTTCTTGGAGAGGTTCAAACCCCAGCTGTGCAGGTTACAACTCCTAACCTCAAGACAAGTGTCTAAAGCCTCCATTGCTTCATCATCTAAGGGAACAAAACACAGCTCAATAGGTGTTGCGGGACTTAAAAGGCTGCATAGAAAGCATCCTTCTACCATGGCAAAATATTCCGTTAATAACAGAAGTTCTCCTTGTATTATTTAACATCTCCAATGATGCTGAAACCACTCTACTGTTCCATGGAGTGTTGTCAATAGGGATGCTTTCCAAAGCCATCCCCTCAAACGCAGACTGGGGGAGGAGTGTGGGAAAGGTGAAGGGCAGTTTCAGCAGGCCAACCCCAGACACCCAGGAGACTGTACATTTGCAACAACAGGTATTCTCCTGGCTTTCAGATCTTCCTTGCACACGACTTCATTAGAAACAAACTATGATCTGGGCGCCAGGGGTTCATGCCTGTAATCCTAGCTACCCAGGAGGCTGAAATCTAAGTATCTACCATTGGAAGCCAGCCCAGGCTGCAGAGTCTGTTAGACTCTTATCACCACTTAGCCATCCAAAAAGCTGGAAGTGAGGCTGTGATTCAAGGGGTACAGTGCCAGCTCTGAAGGAGTGGGGGGGGGCAGGACTGAGTTCAAGCCCAGGACCAGAAGCAAGCAAATAAGGAAAGAAAGAAAGAAAGAAAGAAAGAAAGAAAGAAAGAAAGAAAGAAAGAAAGAAAGAAAGAAAGAAAGAAAGAAAGAAAGAAAGAAAGAAAGAAAGAAAGAGGGAGGAAGGAAGGAAAGAAGGGAGGGAGGAAGGAAGAGAGGGAGGGAGGGAGGGAGGGAGGGAAGGAGGGAGGGCGAGCTGCTGGAGTCTAGACCGTTTGGCGTGCGGTGACCCGCGTGAAGCAAGGGCCAGATTCCTGAGGAGTCGCCCCACCCCCACCCCCAGCTCTCTTCCTAAATCCCTTCCTTAACTTTCCATCTGTCACCGGTGTTCCTGTAGCCGAACCCCAACCTGCCAGGCCCCGGCCCAGCTCCCCCAGCCGGCGCGCAGCAGCCTTCGCAGCCAGCCCTCCTCCCGGCTCCCGGCGCCCCCAAAACACACCCACACCCGGATTAGGTCAGGCCGGGGAGGGGGCCGGGGGGCGGAGCTCAGCCCGCACCCAGCCGCGGCGGCCGCCGGGGAGGCTGCGGCGCGCGGCGGCCAGGCTGGGGCTCCTCCGCCGGAGGGCGCACCCAGGGCCTGGGGCGGGGCGCGGGGGTCCGCAGCCCGGCGGTGAACCCCGGCCGGCCGCGCGGGCTCCGCGCCCCGCAGCAGTCCCCGCCCCGCCCGCTCCGGCGCGCCGCCTCGGCTCCGTGCGCCACGGATTTCGGATCTCGATCGCGCCCAGCGGTCTCCGGGACCCGAGAGGGACTAGGACCCCAGCTCGCTCTCGGCCGGCGAGGGGGCTCGCTCTTCCCCACCCCACCTCCGAGAGCCGGGGACCCGAGCTACGCGACGGGAAGCCCGCGCCGCAGCCAGCGCCGCGGCGGCCCCGCGGCCCCCGGGGAACGGCGCAGGTAGGCGACCCGCGGCCACCGGCGCGCGGGGACGGCGCCCCCCGGCCCACCTCCGCCTGCGCCGGCCCGGGGTGGGGGTGGGGACGCGGGGTGCCGGGGGAGATGGCCCGCAGGGACTCGGTCCCGCATTTTGCGCGGGGATCCTTCGCCTGTTGCTCGATTCCCCATCCCATCCGGTGCCCGGGAATGGGGGGGGGGGGGGGGTGGGGGGAGGGAGGGGCCGTCTGCGCCCCCCTCGCAGGTGGATGATTTCTCTGCAAGGTCATTGCTTCCTTAAGCTCTGCCTTTGAAGGTAAACCGAGGGAGATGCGGGTGATCTCCAGCTCTGTCAATAATCTAATCTGCACCCTGAATATTCCTAGAGGGGCGTGCATGTGTGTGTGTGCGCGCGCGCGCGCGTGTATGTGTGTGTGCGCGTGTGTGTGTGTTCTCTCGTTTTTCCCTATGCGTTTCCCTTTAAGGTCAAAACACTAGTCACACACAATGTCTGTGCATTTCCATGTGTGTGCGTGTGTGTGTGTGCATTTGCATGTGGAATGGGAGTTCTTGGAGGTGGGTGGGGAGAGGAGAGGAAGGGCGGGGGGCAAAGGTTGGTAAAGAAAAATAAATGCAGAGAGTCGAGCCCTGTTCAGGACCCAGGGGTGAACTTTGGAACCACGTTAAATCAAGGGTAGAGACGGAAGGTAATAAACACTCCACTGCAAGCAGGTGTATTAGAAAAGGTTGGAAGAAAACTGTCATCCGATCCACAGGGCAGATCTTCACACTACCCCAGCGAATGGCAACAATCTCAGTCGCAACAATGGACAGCCGCACGGAGGGGGAAAGGAGGGGTAGCTGAGAGGCACTGGGAGATACATCTGGGGAGATGTATCTCCCCAGGTTTCCAGGCCTTCCTTGGGGTGGGGGTGGGGGGGACGCTGTGAGACTTGGGATGGTAGGGAGTTCAAGGTTAATTTGCTGCGAAAGTCCAGAACGCATCAGAAAAGCTGGGAGAAAGGCAAGGGCTGGGAGAGGGAGGAGGGCCAGAGCAAGCAAGCCTTGAGTGACCACCCAAGTGGCAGTCATCGCTTAGGAAGGTGTCGCTTGGTCCACTGAAAGCTGTGTGTGTGTTTCTGTGAAATATTTTTTTTTTCCCAGCGCGTTTGTGAAAGATTCGTTGGTCCGTGTTTTTATTTCATTTTTGCAAGGAATCTGGGTCATGGTGGGACTGGAAGAAACTGAAGTGTTTGCCACACCAGAAAGCTTGGGAGTGAGAGTTGATTAAGGCTTAGCTTCATGAAATATTTACACATCGCATGCGTGGGCTTTTGTTTGCCTCTGTTGGTACTGGTGCACATTTTACTTTGATAATGCTCTGAGTGTATTTCTTCCCCAACAGAGCTTTTTTTCCAGTTCAATACTAATTTTTGTTTTGTTTTGCTTTTCCATTGTGTTCACCATTTGGCCTGCCCTGCGCAGCCATTGTAAGAATAAAGATACCAGAATCACAACACAAAAAGGAAAATCTCTATTGCTCCCGTCAGATCCCTGGAGATCTCATGAGAATTTTTCTTTCTTTCTTTCTTTTTAAAATAGAATCACAAAGAACATTTTTTTGTCAAATGTGTGGGTATGTGTGTGTGTTGTGTTCAATGGGAGACCATATTTATTCATAAACAGGGAGGAAAAAGTAGTAATTATGATCCTTGTAAGTCTGGATGTTAAATCAATCAAATTTATTTTGGAAACAGAATGGAGGAACTCATGGGAAAAAACAAGTACCAGGGTATTGTGGTTAGGGTGAGTCTTCACCTAATGGCTAACTAGACTGTTAGGAAAATGAGTAGGGTAAAGTCATGAGGACACAGCTTCACATAGGGGAAAATGACAAGACTGGAGTATTGTATGAATCATACCAGTTTCAATTGGAAAAAGGGGGGATTCCAGCAAGCTGTTTAGAAATGAGTGTTCTGATTGCCTCAGAAGACTTGCTCGATGTAGTTAATTATTTGTTCCTGCAATCTTTTTCTTGATTATGCCTCAAAGCCTCTTGAAAGAATCTATTTAGATACAGCTATCCCTCATTTCCAGGCACCAAAGATCTGCAGCCTGCAGGAAAAAGCACTAAAATATCAGTGGTTAAAAAAAAAAAAAAAATCCCAGCATCGTAAAATCCTGGACTCAGACAGTGAGGATGCATGGCTTCAGTCCCAGCATGCTCTGGGCTTCTCTCACAGCAGCTGCTTCTGCTCTTTATGTACTCATTCATTCCGTCAGTCATTTGTTCATTCATGCATTCAGCATTGAAGTAGACATGTCCTCGAGGGTGGAATAGAAGAATGAATGAGAAGGACTGGTCTCAGCCTACAAAACCTAAAAGGGAGATGGACAGTAACTGCTAGTGAGACCGAGTTGTAAAGAGGCAGGAGTCGGGCAAGTTTTGCTGGGACCTCAAGGATGAGGGGAACTCACCTGACAGAGAGGAGAGGAAAGGGCCTCCTGGTACATGGAACCAAATACACAAAGAGCCTGATATAGGGATCAAAGTATTCAGAGGCCAAGGAAGACAATTGTGTGGACATGTAAAGGTGGAAAGATGGAGACACCGAGGGAAACAGGACCCACCCACAAGCTCGTCTAAAAGAGCCGCTACCTCATCTTATCACTAAGCCATTGCATCTGGAGAGGTCAAGTCAGCGCACTCATTTTGAAGCTCTACATGATACTGGTTGCCCACATTTATTTCCAACAAATATCTGAATACTATCATGAGCTTGGTTGACATCTACTTAGAAGAGAGAGAAAAGTCATATTTCACTGTCAGGCCTGGATTCTTTCATCCATGAAATATCTACCACTTACTTTGCATATTGTGCAAGTAAAGAGAGAGTGGGTCAGTAGACATTGACATTTTAGAAGTGACGTATAGAAATGTATGGAAATTTTTTAGAGAGGGACACGATCTGCTATATAGTCCAGGCTAGTCTCAAATCTTCATCCCCTAGGCTCAGCCTTCCAAGTTCTGGGATTACAGGCTTGTGCTACACTCTGCTAGAGAATCTTATTCTTTATGATAATGGTGCTCAAGAGAAAACAGGATGGAAAATAATGAGTATACCAAGCTTCTAAATGTCCTAGATGATTCTAGAAGGCCATGTGATGGTACCAAAACCTGAATGAACAAATAAATAACTCTGTAACACAAGCTAGCAAAATCCTATAGACTCATATAATGTTTAGATGATTTTGTTTGCCAGTTCTAGAGCTTGAACTCAGGGCCTGAGCACTGTCCCTGAGCTTCCTTTGCTCAAGGCTAGCACTCTACCACTTGAGCCACAGTGCCACTTCAGGCTTTTTCTGTGGATGTGGTCCTGAGGAATTGAACCCAGGGCTTCATGCATGTTAGGCAAGCACTCTACCACTGAGCCACATTCCCAGCCCCATGTTTAGATGATTTTTAAGTGAGAGAAATAGTTGTAGTGACCCCATAGTAATTAGTAAATGCCCTTCTAGAAATAAACGTTTCAAACTGTGGGTCCCAACTAATCATCAACTCATTGTAGTCCATCTGATCAGCATTTTTTTTACAGTACTGGGGCCTTGCGCTTGCTTGGTTAGCACTGTTCCACTTGAGCCACAATTTCAGTCTGGCTTTTTAACAGTTCTTTTGGAGATGGAGTCTTGCACACTCTATGCCCAGGCTTTGAACTGTGATCCTCCATCTATCAGTCTCCTGAATAGCTGGGATTACAGGGATGATATACTAGCAGCTGACAGCATGTTTATTTTTTGAAAAACAGAATAGAACAGCATAGCATAGCAGGATAATCATTGTTCGGGGATTTTTTTTCCCCCTTGGTGATACTAGGTATTGAACCTTGGACCTTACTCTTGCTTGGCAAGCTCTTTACCACTTGAGTCACCCACCCCTAATCCTTTTGGCTTTTAGTTTGTTTTGCAGATAGGTCTCCTGCTTTTGCCTGCACTGGCCTCAGACTACAGTGCTCTTATTTATGCCTACTGAATAGCTGGTATAGAGACACACCTCACCACACTCAGTCTTGGAACTTTTTGATTGTCTGTTTGTTTGTAGGTAGGTACATAAAGGACTATGATGGAAAAACAAATCTCCTTCTGGACCCATCATGTTCTTAAAAATCCCAGGAGCCACTGCTTTAAGTGATAGTACAAAGAGAAGCTTCCAGATTGTAGGAGGCCAGCAGTTGGCTTCAGAGAACTGATATACAACTGCTCATGAAGTATTCTGAGCAGTGGAATGGCCTCACTATGAAAGGCCAGACTTGTGGCTTACCAACTGTGTGGCAGTTAAGAAGGCAGAGAGCCAAAGTCCTTGGGGACTGAAGCGGTCAGGAAGGCTTCAGGAGAAAGATGGAACTTGGGCTAGTTTATGAGCAACCCTGGTGGGTTGTGAAGATGAACCGGTTACATAGAAGGAGGAAACAAAGAATAGGGCCACGGGAGGTTTGTCTAGGAATCATCTAGCAAAGAAAAAAAGGAAGTCAAGTGGAGAGGACATAATGATAATGGAATTTCTGATTACATTGAAATATTACTCAAGTTGTTCATTATTTCTATTAGTTTTATTGCGTCTGTTAAAGGGAATTTAAAATATAAGCATGTGTGTAGCTCATAATATCAGATTATGAGTTTCTCACCTCCTATCCCCACCCCACCATACCATTCATGGCAGAGCAGCCTCTATTCATTGAACAAAAATCCTTACTACAGTGCACGGTCATTAACTATAATCCTCCCGACGAACAAAGATCTATGGACTCGTTCATCTGGTCTATCTGCTGTCTTATCTCCTGTATCTCTTCATTTCCTCCTCGCCTCCCCATAAATCCTGTCTTATTCTCTATTTCCTTTATGCATAGCCTTAACTGTTTGTTAAACTGTTAACTATTTTATACCTAAGAATTGTTTTTCTGATGCTGCTTTTTTTTTAAAGAAAGTCGGGCAAGAGTCGTAGGCATCACATCATAAATCTCACATTT